CAATTGAAGTAGGCATCTTCACATGAATTCAACTCAATATCGAAGCGATATGGTGCATAATTAACATACACTTTTACTCCATTCTTCAAACAAATCATTCATTCACTTTGCTGAAAACAAACTTGCTTAACCCTTTTCTCACTCCTTCCCTTGTTCACTTCTTTGTGGTCCTCATCACTTCTCTTTTTAGTTAGACATGAAGAATCTTTGTAGTAAACAAGAATCATTTGTACATCACTTAATTTATTGTTAGCCCACATTTTTAAATTTAAATAATTAATAACCCAATATATATATATATATATATATATATATATTATTAATTAAATATTTCAATTTAGGTGATTTTTTCATGTTTAGGAATATATTTAGATTAAAAAATGGACGATAAAAATATTAAAAGCAAAATAAAAATAAATGTTAAGGTTACAATATAAAATCAATTAAAAAGATAATTTAATAGATATTTATATCATATAAAAGACTAGAAAAATATTAAGTTTTAATTCATATCATCTTTATGAACAATTTCAATATAAAACAAATTAATAATATATTAAATAATTTAACATATATTTAAATTATATTATAATATAAAACAAAGTATATGGGAGTTCGATTAGAATAATTAAAGAGTGTAAAAAATGTTTTTAAATTTGTCCATGAAATTTCACGTTGGTGAGTAACTAGTTAGATAGCAAGTAAAATGTCTTTTTCCCCACATGTGCTTAAAAAATGTTTTCAACATAGGATTCTGCTTAAATGACGTCGTTTTTATTTTTATTTTTATTTTTATGAAAACCCAAAGTTTTGGCTTTTACCGCATTTGGAGTACCACGTACACTTTTTTTCTTCTTTAAGAAAACAAATAATAATAATAATTAGTTCGGACCACACTGATTGATTCGACAAGAAAATTTGTGATTCCGTTACCTAAAGTGATAAAGTTAGTTCGAAAGAACCGCTAAAAAAAAGTAAAAAAAAAACCCTTATATATTATTTTTACCTATATTTTTATTCCTTTAAATTTAGATTATTTTTATTTTAATTTTTTAATTAAAAAAATATTTTTTTCTTAGTATTAACCACCTCATTATTGTTGTGAGTATTAGGTGTCAAAATAAACTTAATAAGATAAATCAGCCCATAAGATCCAAAAAATAAATCTAGTAGAATTAGGTCAATTTTGATCTGACTTATTTAGGTTATATTAGTCTATAGATTTATGATCTGACCTATTTTATAAAATATTAATTATTTTTATAATAAAATAAAATTAATATTATTTTATTATATATATATATATATATATATATATATATATATATATATAAAACTTCATTTGTTTTGACCATCTATTTTCTATTTTCGCCACATTTGTTTATAAGGACCAATAATTTAAGATGACATATTTTTAAATTTAGTATATTTCTAAAGTATTATGATATAAAATTTATGTTAGATAATAAGACTAGCTTGTTGAAGCAATGCAAATTTGACTCTAAAATGTATTGAGATGGACATGCTAGATAATAAACTTTAAATATAAATTTTATTTGTTTTGACCATCTACTTCCTGTTGCTATCACATTTTCTTGGAAAGACTAATAATTTAAGGCGACATGTTCTTAAATATAGTATATTTCTAAAGTATCATGATATGAAATTTATGTTAGATAATAATACTAGCTTGTTGAAACAATGAAAATTTGACTATAAAATTTATTGAGATGCATTATTAAGTATGATCTTCAATTTAGCTAGGTTGAGTATGAAAGAGGTTGGAAGGTAAATAAAGTTTTGAATACTTATTTTAAATCAATTACTAAAAACATTTCAATTGCATATATTTAATTAAAAGATATATTATCTAATATTTTTATTAAGATACGTTTGACTTCTAATAAACAACTATAAATGCTCAAAGCTATTACTGTAACATCTCATTTTGTACAATGATATTTTATAATTTTATTTTGTAAGAGTTAATTTTAAATAAATAAATGAATAACATTATTTTAAATTCTTAAAATCTAGTGAAACACAAGGAAACATTACATTTATATATTCCAGTTTTAATATTAAAATAAAAACTAAAGTTAAAACTTCATTCATAACAATATAACAAAGAAAAAATAAATAAATGAGAAATACATGATTGTAAAAGTAACATCAATCGTTCAGGTTATTATTAGTAGGAGAGGTAGAAAAAAATAGGAAAAAGAGAATGAAGATATTTTAGATATTGTTAAAAATAGTTTTATCAAATTAAACATGTATAAGGTACATTAATAAAATTTTAACAAAGTCAATTTTTAAAATCAAAAGTTTATTATTCTTAAATTGGAAGACTTAAAAAAACCACTTTTAAATTAAATATGAGGGATAAAAAAATATTTTAAATTGAAAAGAATAAAAATGTTGATAAATCTCGTAATATGATAGATAAAAAATATGAAGTGTGATCAATATTAAGAGAAGAAATTTTGTGAGAAGTAGAATAAAAAATTCTTGGTAAAGTGCTACGTTTAAGTTATTTATAAAATAGAATAAAAAATTCTTGATAAAATACTATATTTTAAGTATTTATAAAATCAATTTAATTTAGTCTTTTCCATTATAAATAAATGTGTCTTCATATCACATTAATGAATGATGATTACAAAGTGAGTCATAAAGAAAAGATAACTATCATCACAAAGTGAGTCAATTATTGTTTTAAGGTTATGCATTTTATCCTTAACAATGTCAAAGCAACATATTATCATCTAATGAACAAATTCTTCAAAAATTAGATTAGGGACCTTATGAATACACTTAAGAGCAAATAACACAACAACTAGAGTACTCAATAAGAGATATTATTAGTCAACTCAAATTTGATGCTAAGAAATTTTTTAGAAATACAAAATGTTCAAACTGTTTGAACCTATTTATATTACCACTAGAAGAATTGTGTAGTATAATCATTCCTTAACCATTTACTAGTTAAAATTAAATATATGAATATTTATGATCATATTTTAATTACAAAAGGTAAGATTAAGTTATTGATATAACTATTCATCATTTTATTAAATAAGTTGGGATTGAATCCTTATCCCAATCTCAATTTAGTACCGAAATTATGTTATGTAGTTTTTATTATTAATGAAAACGAGTTTATTGAGAAATTTTTTAAATAATTCCTCCAACAATTTAATATTAAATATTGTATGTTACATAGAATATCCTTAAACAAACAAACATAAATTATTAACAAAATCTTACTTAACTTTGTTTGTTTTTAAGATTGTATTGTAAGCATGAAATGGAAAGATAGATTTGTATACATAAATTTTGTTTGGATTAACAAATTAAAAAAAAAAAGTGAAAAAATAAATTTGTGGATCCACCATAAAAAGATGTAAGAAGAAAATCAACTAAGGCTAAAATCTATTTTACCATATGTACTTATTTATCATTATTATTGATATTGAATAAATCATAACTGATTAACATTTTTCGTATAATTTATTATAGTGCATTAAATATGCATTAAAATTTTCAAAAATCAAATGATTATATATATACATGTATATATGGATAACTTTTTAAAATGAATTAAAAAATAAAAATAATTGATAATATTTAATTATAGATTATAAATAAATAATTATCTAAGTTTAGTTATTTTTATTTTAGAATATATATTTTATTTTCAAAATATAATCAATAAATTATTTCGATAATTTTTATTGTTTAATTTATATATAAAATATCACAAATTTATTTTTAATTTATATAAAAATATATTTTATTTATTTTTATCAACGTTAAATAATTATTTTATATTAAATATATCTTAGTTTAAATCTATATTTATTTAAATTATATTTTAATCATTTATTAATTTACATGATTATCTATTTTTTACAATTAAATCAATTTTATAATCTTGTCGTTAATTTTTTTTTCATTACTTTCTTTCTGTTCATTCTTTAAATCTTAAAAAATCTTAAAGAGATAAAGAATATCAAAGATTTATGGGAAATAATATAGAAATAGGCATATCTTACCCATATAGTAAGAGTATCATTGTACACCCTAATTATTTAAAAAAAATCATTCAAGTGTAAAAGTACTATGTTACTAAATAATACTAGTACACAAAATTATTATTATCAAAACATTATATACTTTTAAACGGTTTCGAAAATATTTACAATAAAGAATTGTAAAACTAAAATCAAAATTAACTTGTTTAACTATTAAAACACTTTCATCCATTATCATTTTACATATTTAATCTTTAGTATTTCTTTTTAGTACTAATTTGACCAATGTTAACATAATTAGACTGATGAACATCAAAATCACTAAAAATACGTTATTTTTTAATAAAATTGATATAATTGTTATATTTATGTTTAAAAACATGTTCTGCAAAATAAGTTTTGATATAAAAATATGTATTTTACGACAAAAACAAGAAAATAACCTTTTATCACTCCTAATTAAACCAAGGTTTGGAAAAAAACATCATTTCTTAATAACAGAATTTCTGTCTCTCATAAAATCCCATTTTATAAATCACAAAATCAAACACATCTGAACATGTTTTGATATACCTTAAGATTGGATAATTTAGACTTGTTTTTCTTGTGAAAAAGAAAATTAAAAATTAATCATAGCTAGATTAAATATAAAATTATATGGACATCTTTGTTTTAGCTAGACTTTGCAAAATAAGAACTATTTTTCACAAATGTAAACAAACTTCAAACACTTAAAAAAGCTAATTCTATTCTTATAAGGTGAGGTGACCACGACATAAAGGATCCTATTTCAAACTTTAAATGACCAAATTCAACCTGTGTCCATTATAAACATATCCAAAATCAAACCATTACAATAACAAACTCGGAATCACTGCATACAACTCGGAAGACAGACAAAAGGATCTTAATTTTATAGCACCTCCTATTTTCATTCTACAAGTGAATGCAGACAAGCTCTGATCACTCTGTCATTATAGGTTTGTTCTCACTTGCTTTGGGTTTCTGCTCTTTTGGCTTCTGCTCATCGGTTTTCCTGAGACAAAACCAGAACAATTTGATTATCCATCAAATTTAATCTCAAAGTAAGGAACAACAACCCCTGTATACTAAGAAAAAATTAATCCATCATGCCATCAAAAAACAATATTAAAATCAGGCAACATTAAAAATCATATTTATACATGACAATCTGTAACAACTTCTAAAACTTATAATAATGGGTACAGTTTAGTTTCAGACTTGGAAAAATTGTTAAACGGACTTCATTGTTCGTATATAGATTCATAGATAGACTTCATTTTTCGTATATAAATTCCAGGAGGTTAAATATAGAAGCAAGATTTTTGTTTCTTCCTGGTAAACTTTGGTTTCATTTTGAAAGAAAAAACACATAATCATTTCATTCAGACCGGGTTTTTTTTATCCGAAGTTCCTAAGTGTTTTGAAATAAGAACTCCAAATTATTTTTTAAGATTAAATAAAGCATGCTACTCTTGAAAAACACAAAAGTAAATGTATAAAGAATAGCAGAATTAACCAAAGTATTAAGATGCTTAAGTCATTCATTTTGTAACAACGTTAGTGCAGATATAGACAAATCTCTCTACAACTCGAACAAAAATGAAAAAAATACTGAAATTTAACTGCAGACCGGTCATCATGTCAGGACCTTACAACAAACAAGATCACACGAAGTCCAATTTTATGACAGGCCCTTGTCAACTAGTTTAGAGACATCAAATGTGTCATGAATAGCAAAACAGGATTACAATAATTTCCATGATTACAAAGTCTATAACTTATTTTTCCCTGACAACGAACCCCAAGCATAAACACCACAAATAAACCAAATATACCAGTTAGGAAAAGACAATATTCATCTTAGTTAGCAATTGTAGAATTAGAATAGAGCAATTATACAATTAGAATAGAAATTCAAGAAAATGAATAACAACTATATTTACCCAATCCATAATTCCAAGTTACCCTCAGCCAAAGAAAAAGTCCTTATAGTTGAATAAGAATTGTGTTATTACTTGCTAGATAGCACATCTATAGGCCAACTTCTCACTGTCTAAAAATGTTATTAATGTCATATGACGGAAGGCCAATATTCCGCTATATAAACACACCATTACAGCCTATGGCACCACCACCATAGTGGGCCTTCCCTCACAAATTGGCTATGGTGGTTAACAAAAAATCCACCATGCGATTCCACTATGATGCCTCCATTTATCAACATTGCATCCTAAACCTATCCAGTTGCCATCCTTATAGCAGGCATTAGTGATAACTCCTTGGGTCAATAATTTACCATATCAAATAGCAGATGGCTACATATATGTAAACAATTACTTCGTATGCAAACATAAACAAAAATAAAATGCATAAAATTTGACATAAATAGGCCACAGACGCATAGAAGACCCCAATCGCAAGATAAAAGATGTTGATACAGGACACCTGTTGCAACCACAACACCCATAGTGACCACAATAACAGAAGTCGCTATAGCAGCAGTACAACAGCTATTCAGCAATAATGTCACCTTCAAGAACACGTTATAACACTAAATGGATTTAACAATTGTCTCGTTCATTTGCCACCATAAAATTCCATGTATACATGTATTTAATAGAACTGAATATTGGAAGTCATTTTTTTTCACAGAAAAAGAAAATAAATCTATTATACCCGGACCTCCTTCAGAACCAAAACAAAATAAATAACGGCTTTAATCCGTTCCTCTTTAAGAAAACTTAGATCTATTCGAACTCCTCAAACGGTTCACAAAGAAGAGAGAAAGCACATACCTCTTATCGGAGGAACCTCCCTTCTGACTAAGGAAGGATCGGAAAAGTGGAGAGTTAACGTCGTAAATCATTGTCGTTCTCTGGCAAAGATAAAAACCCTAATTCTTTCTTTTTGTTTCTGCAACTTTCCAGAATTTATATTCCTTTCAAAGCCCAAACGGTTTGTTAACTCGACCTATTTGGGCCAAATTCTTATCTATTATTCTCACTGGACTTTCATCTCCGTATTTCTGGATCCCATAATTAAGATAAATCCTATTTTACCCTTGTATATTTCAGTGGAATATAATCCACACAGAAATTTTCAAAAATACGTTTCGGAAATAATTTTCCAAAAATATATTTTGGAAAATAAATTCAGGACTACATTCCTTAAATTAATTTTTCAGAAATATAATTCAGATTGGTAGTCTACAATATATTTTTGGATTGTACATTCCCAAAATATGTTTTAGATCCATGCATTTTCAAAAAATTATTCCCATAAATGTATTTTAAAACCCATTTTTCATAATATGTTACTGGACAAAAAATTTTGAAATATATTTTCTGATTGTTTTTTTTTTAATTTATTCTAAAATGCACAATTTATAATATATTTTTAAATTAATTTTTCAAGAAATACATGTTTTTAAAAAAGTCAATTCAAAAATGTATTCTAGATTTAATGTTGTAGAACTTAATTTGATTTTCGTAAAACTAGTTTGAATAGAATAATTTGAATTTTAATATGTAATTTTAATGCATAAATATGTAATAGATATATAATAAAGTGTAGAAGATGAGTAACGGAGGTTCAGAACTTTTGCATGAAAATAGAAGAATGAATTAGTGTTTGAAATAAAAATTATTGAAAATGTATTTAAGTTATTTTACTTGGATTATGGAGATGGATGAAGAAACTATGGAGGTGCAGAAAGAAAGTTTGATGCTCACGTATGGACATGGGCTTTATAAAATGAGTCACTGCTTGAATGTCTTCAAATATAGACTTTCCTACTCTTTTTTGAATATTCCATGCGTACTCAAGATAATCTTGTAACATTAAACCCAAGACGAGAGTGTTGGACAAAATGGGTAATAGGCCCAATGAATTAATCTTAGATAATAATAGGTCCAATGAGTTATCATTAGAGACAGAATTTTAATTACAATACTTATTTAAAATAAAAATATTCATTTGTATTATGAAAAATAAAATTAAAAGAGATTTTGATTAAAAAAAATGTGTCAAAAAATACAGATGAATATGAGAAAAAATTGAATGATAAAATATACTAAATTCAAAAAAAATGAGTGATAAAATATACAAATTTGGTAATATACAATTAGCGATTAATTGGTCTTAAATTTACATATATTTGAAAAGTATCCCTATCAGTAAAAAAATTTCAGTTTTATTCAAAACTAGAAATCCAAAACATGTACATTCAATTTGAACATTAAAAATATACGTAACGTCAATTTGATCATCTAAAGATTTAAGCACCAATTTGTTACATAAGGAACTAAATTAATATTTTTTAAAAATGAACTAAAATAATAATTTCCATCCTTTAAGTCACTAGTTTAACTATTTGATCTAAATAAACAAAAATTAAAAAAATAAATGTTAACGAAAAGACATTAGAATAATATTAGATATGTGGGTCACACTTTTTACCGTATTCAATATTAATGGGCCACGTTTAGGTAGCCACATATTAACACTGCTAAAACACAATTTACTATATCAATGCAAATTAAATTAAGTGGTTGACCTTTCTTACTCAATATTATTATTATTATTATTATTATTATTATTATAATTAATTTATTTATTTATTATTATTATTATTATTATTAATACTTTATTAATAGTGTCTTGAAAAGACCTTAATTTGGTCAATAATTAAAAAGAAAAAGTGAAGAAAGAGAGAGGCTCTCCTTCGTTCAAGTATGTACTATCTTATAAATTAAATTATACTATTTTTTTCAATTTCAACTGAACATATATATACCTATTTAATTATTACTACTTGTAAAATACAATATTGATTACATGTGTACAATAATACAAGAAAGTGATTCGATCTTTAAAACAAACATGCGTTAATATCTATGTCTATTTATATCATCTAAAAACAAATCATCATCGTCATAATTTTTATCCCAAGTTTGAAAATCCATACCAATTATAATTTTCTGATAACTCGAAATAAAAATGTTGGGTGGTGACTATAATTTTACTTTTCATTAAAGTAAAATTTATGTTTTTTTAATGAGTCCGTACATATAAAAATCCATACTTGAATGTTTTTTTTACGTTCCTTCACACTTTCAATAAAGATTCTCAGAATAATTATATCGGTATTTCAAAGGTGGGTAACATTAGGGTAAGGTGAAAAAAAAAAAAGAAAAAAAAAAACGGAGAAGCACGAAAAGTGGTTGATTTGAAAGATTAAGGTTAAGGTTTGTTTAGCGGACGAGAGGGTTGACGTTGTTGGCGGGACATTATCCGAAGGAAGGGTTTTACATGGCAGGCCACCCATCCAATCAAGATTTCGTCGGTGCCCTAAGTTTGCTACCAACCAACTCATACTATTAATAATTCCCCTAACTCCTTCTCTTGCCCTCCACATTTTTCACAATGACTATTATATCCTTCTTCCTTCTTCTTTCAAATCAATGCTGCAATCACTTTATTGACCCTCCTCCTCCTCTTCACCTTCCTCCACAACCATTTATACGCTGTGTTACAACCTACTCTCTGCTTTTCATCTTTATGCTATATTTTTCTTGTTTTTCCGTTAATATAAAGGTTTTTACTGTTTTTATTATATTTTAATTTAAAAAAAAAATAAGTTGGTAAATTATCGTGGGTGTTTAAGATTTGTGCATCAATAATAAACATATTACCCAGTTTTCTTCAATTGCAAAGAAAAATTAAGCAACACGTGTTTAGTTAATGAGAGAAAATGCGAAGACATGGTCAAAAGACATAATAACGCAGAAAGATAAATATTGTTTCATCACACGTAGAGTTCAAATTATAAATTATATATTTGCGTTTGTATTACTAAGTAAACATCAATCTTGCACATATTCTATAAATTAATCTCAAATTCCATCAATTTTAAGTTTGAATTTACGAGAAAGTAAATAGAGAAGTCTTCGTAAAATAATATTTTTTTTTTTAAATATATTTTATGATACATCATCTCAACCAACAATTTACTGGGTGAAGGGTCCAACTTGAAGCAATTATTATATGTTATCGTGTAGAGTCACACATTCTTTAATAGGTATTTGCAAAGTTAGTTATGGTCAGCATTGGATGGGGTAGGTACACTCCATGGGATGAAAGTAACACAAATATGTTAGGGCCCTTGCCCCTTGGATTTTTCAATTATCTTTTTTACGTATTAATATTAAATAATTACTTTATTTACAAATATGATGTGTTTAATTTCAATCAAATATGAAGGATTGTTTTAACACAAAACGTTAGGGTAATGTCAATTTGAAACTTATTTCACAACTAGTAGAAAACTCAGGTTCTTTGTCAAACATGTCAAAAAGAAAAATAAAAAAGATAAATGAAATAGACTGTGTATGGATATTTTTGATTCAACAAAAATGTTTAAACTTGTATTAAAGAAATATGACAAAGTTTAATTACATATTTATTTTAAATTTTTTTTTCAATCCACTAGTAAATCCTGATATTAATTATATCATTTTACACATTTGTTCCTTTTAAAATATATAGGCAGTAATGAAGAGAAATATTGTGGACATTATCCATCCAACGCGTAGTCATCACCATGAATATATCATAATACCTCGTGCTCTGTGTAACTTGTCACGTTCTCTTGATTAATTAAAATACGTTTTAATTATCTACTTAGAATGGTAATCCAAGTGGTCCCTGCTTATGCCAAGTTATATGGCTACTAATTAGGTTTGGATATTAGATTGTGTATTCGCTATATTAGTTTAATTATAAATAATTTATTAATATAAAATATCTCAGTGATGACTCTGATCATGAAAAAGTTTTCATGTTTTTTTTTTTAATCTTTTATTTAAGTTTAATAAGAAAATATTAAATTTAATGATAAAAAAATAAAAATTCACAAGATTGTGTGTATGTGAAGGTAGTCCATATTTTTTACACATTTTTATTTTATCAAGTTTCTCTTAAATAATAATAATAAGATAATTAAAATTTATTAAAAAATTATATATTAAGAAATTATTGGTTATATCAATAATAATTATCATGATATAATAGTTTTTTTCTAATTAAAATATATTCTATTAAAAAAAATTAATTATAAATAAATAAATTTATATTATATATTATAATAAATAAAAATATTTAGAAGTAAAATATAGTATTTTTTATTTTTTAATAAAACAAATATTTTAAAATAAAAAAATGTTAATTTTAATAAATTAAGATCTTATTACTTTTTTTAAAAATATTATAATAAATAATAATAATAATATTGTTATTATTATTAGAATTAGAATTAGAATTGTTAGTGATATATTATGAAAAACAAATAGACCAAGATAGTAGAAAAAACAAGAAGAGATGATGGTAATGAGATTTTTTTTCATAGGAAGAGAAGATAATCATAATATTAAATGAGATGTATTATATATATATATATATATATATATATATATATATATATATATATAATAAAAAAGACAAATCAATGATATTATTATTTTAAAAAAATAATAAATTTAATGACATGATAATTTTTTTCTTAAATAAATATTAAATGTATAAAAAAGGAAGAAAACAATTATAATTTTAAAAAATATATATGTAGATTAATTTCATAAAAATGTGAAAAAATTGTTACCTTCATATAATTTTTTATTTATTATAAAATTGTACAGGAATGAACAAAACTACCTTATGTTTTCTTTGTTTATGTATTTTATAAATAAATTTTATATATAATTGATTATTCAATTATAAATTATTTCTTTATTTTTTATTTTCATTTCACTTAAATCATATATGTTTTTAAAATTAAAACAAAAAAAGATAAATAAAAAATTAATAATT